ACACCTTTGATGAAACTATCGCAAAACCATATACTCTCGTTTTGATTTCTATTAGCTTATATGGAAGTAAATACACTACACGATTTTTAGTTATAAAACTGAACAGTTGAATTGGCTGCTAAATAACCGACAATCGCACAACAGTCATGGATTAGTTTAGTCAAATTTTTGCGCAAGCATAATTTCTTTTGTTTCTCTTCACTGACATTTAAGTCTAGCCATAACCTCAAAATTAATCGGTGCGCGTCATATCTCGCTTTTTAAATTACAAATAATATTATTATATCATTTTTGCTTATTAATGCCGCGCTTATCTAAACGATTGTAAGATACATTATTACTTGAACAATAAAAGTACCGCTACCAAGCAATGAATTAATATAATAATCTAAAAATGAATTTATTATTTAATAGTCCTCTTTAACTTTGTTATTATATAAACTGGATATACTACGCTATTAATACAATTTAAAAACTCTCTGGAATCAGTAATTTTTCTTGTAATTACGTATATACAAATTTATATGTCAGTCTACCATTCATTTGTGTGTTTAACACGTTAAACGCCATGCCTTTGCGCACGGGCCACATCAAATTTTATATGTTGTCAAAAATTCAAAACTTTGTTTTATGTTCCTATTTGATATGACTATAGTAATAAATTGATGGCGTTTAACGTGATAAATAATTAGTATAAGGAAAACCAAATAAATCACTATAAAACAGTATTATTTAGTTATCTAAAGTTCACTTCAATTAAAAAAAAACAAGACAACGCTCAGAATCTTAATCTTTTATGTTTATAATCTAAATCTTTAGAGATTATCTGTTTCAGGAATTAGTCTATGATAAATTCGGTTATGATTGATATTCCTAATAACCAGAATTTGCTTGTGAATTGTTAATAATGTAATAGATAAGATTATAAAAACTTAAGTAACTAATAAACTACCAAAACAAACTACCCAATATCAGTTTCATCGATTTAATTACAGAAATGATGAGCATGTGATCGAAACAATCGAACACCGAAAGAAACAATTGCAGTTTTTCATAGAAAACAGAATTTAAACGCAAACATTTTGATTAGAAAACTTTTAAAATACTTTTATAAACATTTTCCACTTAATTATTTATCAATTTGAACCGTACTTAATAGCCAAAGCTATGTTTTAAGTTTTTCACATTAAATTAAACAGAACATATTTAAAATACAACACCGTTTTATGAATAAACATGTATAGTTTTTTAATTTATTTTATTACGCAGAAACAATTAATAAACAACTTACCTCTTCAATGTCATCCATTTCTAAATCACCAACAATTTCTTCAGCGATTTTCGTAAGTGATATACTCGGCCTCACCGAAACTCTCCTACTATTCACAGCTGACCTTTTCCATAATTCATTTTCCTTCGTGTCATCGTTTAAACTTGCAAGTTGATCGTAAAAATTGACAACACCCGATGTATCCTCGGATTTATCGATCCGTGACACACGTTTGTTAGATTTAAATTCAACTTTCTTGTTAATATCTTCGAATTGTCTATAACCGTTTGCATTAGGTATTGCAGCAACAGTACGAACAGAATTCACATCTTTATATTCACATTCTAAATCAAAACCTCTATCGTCAAAGAATCTTTTAAACTTCGCCCAACATGTGAGTTCTTTTATAGAGACACCTTCGCTCCTCACAGTCGAACTCGGCTTACTGTCTTTCATGGTTGATTCTAAATTGTTACGATTCAAAATGGTTTCAATGATTAGATCTAATGTAGATAATTAATAGGAACTGTTGGTAATCGTATCGCAATCGCTTGATATGAACGATAATCATTCGACGTATCTGCAAACGCTACTAAATCGTTCTTATTGACTCTAATATGAACCAATTAATATTAGTTAATATTCATTGCCAGCGTCGATTAGGAGTCGTATCTATGTAACGTCTGTTATTGTTGATCAAACTGATTGTTAACAACAAACTTTCAATAGAGAAGTCAAACATCAGTTAATTACATGTTGAATACAGCGTGAAACGTAAAAACATTTATACCCTTTTGATACACTATTTTCAATGCATTTAGAACTTAAGCAATTTTGGTAGTCACATTTTTAATCATGCCTTATATCTCAAATTGGACTAACAAGAATAATTCCTTTTTTATTACCGTCGTTATTATTGTTAACTCGTAGTGTTTTCACTTCACTGTTAATGTTTTCACTGGACACAATATTTAAAATTTTCTTGTTAACATCACTTAAAATCACAGCACTTTTTTAGCAATTATCAAACAAAGAATGTACACTTTCAGATTCTAATATATCACTGTATCCAACATTGACATTGAATTTTAAATTTAAATCGAGTATTTAAAAGAGATCAGTCTTTAAAAATCTTAAATTATTCTTATTTCTCACAACCATTTGCATAACTTTATAAAATAAATAAACACTAGATGTAATTTTCGCGATCGATTCGCATGTCGTTTATAATAATACTGAGACATCTCTACAATTAGCTGTTACTGTGACATCAAGCATTACTGATAACATTGATATTTTCACTTGATAAATAGTGACGTGACGCATGCTGATAATTTACTTACTTAATCATATAAGGACATCACTACTTGCGATCCATTGGACTATAGCATCAGAGGGAATAAATTGCTACCAGATTTGTCTGCTTCCAAAGATATAGATCCATTCCGCTCAGGATATGACTGTAGTAGGTTAGGCTCTAGCCCCTCGGAACGTGAATGATCCGACAACATTCTTACGGATAGTTGGATACTTCAAACTAATACTATAAATGCGAAACTTTACATGGATTGATGGATGTTTGTGGCTTTATCAACAGAACCGTCATCGGATCTCGTTGATATTTGACACATAGGCTACTTACTAAGGATTTTAATTTTGCGTGGACAAACTCGCTAATAATATAATTAGTGATGTTACCTGGATCATATCTGGTACAAAGTTAATATATTAATTATGTTATCATTTGAAATGCTTTATTTAAGGAAATAATTCTTTGGTCGGCGTATTTGTGAAATTTCCGCAGGTAGAATAAACAGGAAAAATATTTATTTTAATAAAATTAAACCTAAAATTCTGAAACATATATTAAAAATAAGTTGTCAGTCTGTTTGTTTTTTTTTCTCCCGAAATTGATTATTGAAAAAAATTAACTACACCTTTAAAGGGAGCTAGCTATTCCTATTCCTTCATTAATCAGAATATTTTTTTTGGCTTTAATCCGACTAACAACTAATTATTGCATGTAAACGAAGTCGCCGACACCAGCCAGTATTTCTACAATTTGTAATTTACACGTGATATCTATGTTACGATCTATAATGTTATTATTTTATACTTGATGTTGGAATTTTATCAGATTTAGATGTTATTGATTACGTGTTAAAAGATTGTACAGACGTAACGAACGAAATATGATGCGATTGTCATCTTTTACTGCAGTGTCACGTGGTTTTTTTTTTTAAATTCTTAGTTGCAATTGTTTTTTGGGGGTTTACACTATCTATATTTTTATAACATAGGATGGCAAACAAGCTAGGGGCACCTGAATCCACCGAAATGGAAAGCGACCGCTGCCTATAAACATCCGCAATTTCAGATGCGTTGCCTACCATTAATTGAAGGAGGCAGAGACGCACATAAAGAGAATATTTCCCCTTCCTATGTGTCTCCAACACCGTCATATCCACTTTTCCTTCCCATCCTTTCCTCTTAAGAAAAGGGTGGAAAGGGAAATGGACTAAAATTAGACCGGCCCTGCAGTGCGATGATGTTAAAGCGTTCTCTGCCACTTTAAAACTATAGTAAAACTTGTACAAAAACATTATGTTTTCATTTTTTAATAGAGAGTGGAAATCGCATGTATTTGACATATGTTTTTGTAGTAGAAACTAATAGTCATAATCTGATAATGTTCATTCATTTAATGATTATTGAAAAACAAAAAAAAAATATACTTTTCTAGTATTAGATTTAAACACTGAACAATTATATCTTATACGTAGATCTATTTATACATAAATCATGATTAATGTCATGGTGACTTGTTAGCAATGACGTTACTTCGATGATCAAGAAACAGTATGTTGAATAATAACGAAAATTAAAGATTTAACATTTAATTAACTACCTAAAAATTTCTTCTGAATTGTTTTATTTGGTGGTCCATTGGAAGTATCGGCATGTCGGCTACTTCACTTACAAATACCAATTTATTGTATTAAGTTTTATACCTTGTTACCTTTAGTTTTAAACAACATTACTTATGCTCGTAACCGAAAGAGGTACGTAGAGACCATTGACCTCCATTGACATAAAGCTTTTAACAAGTAGCTTGAAATCAATTTTTAAAATAGTATTTTCATATTGTTCACGTATTAATTTACTTGCTCAGTTAAATGTATGAATTTTAGCTTATGAATTCAAAAAGCTGTAGATAATAAAATCACAAAACTTAAATAATCGTACCTTTTTAATCGAATAAAAAATTGTATCCGATTAAAATCCGTTTGAAAATCGATTCCACGTGAAGCTTCTGTAGGCTTTTATTTAAATTCAACGAGTAATTTATTCGGATTGCGTGTAACGTCATAAAATACGACGAATAGAAACGGGTTATGCGATCGATACGTCAGCACATCACTTATCGTTTTATCTTTTTACGTCGACCTGAGCAATGAACTTATGTTCCTTTTATTTAATTATGTCCCGCTGTCTTATTTCATTTTAAAAACATGGTTAATGCGTATTGAATAAGCGCGTCAGACTGTTCAGATTATGAATCTTTTGATATAAGAAGCGCGGAAACAAACGTCGTTGGCAACTGCAGTGAAAAGTCAGAAAACAAAAGCGTAAATGCATCTTTTAATAGCTAATGTTTATCTATACTTTTTGGTTCATTTGGTTGTGCGTTTCTGAGTTGATCTGGTGGTGATGTCAATAATGTACTTACAGCTACGTCGACTAAGGGCTCATCTTCCGGTGTGAGTGCGAGAGAAGAGCGGCGACCGGCGCGCGCTCCTGGCGATCCACTCGAACTTCCTGGTAAATTAAAATAATACTTAATTATTAATTATATTAAGTAGGGTACTTTAATATTATTAACTTGTATTTTGTAATATTATATTTGTAATGCAATATTCTTTAGTATTAAATTTAACTAAATCATTAGAAAATTAATTGGTTGGCAATACAAGTAGGGCTGCCACTTTAAGATAATAGTACTAATGGCTGCCGGCATGGAGATTACCCAAAAAAACAACGTCAACTAGATTTGATTAGTAGTCACAAGTGACTGGTATAGCGATGTCGAATGTGAACTCTGCAAATTGAATTCCGACTAAACTCGAAGTGGCAACCCTAAGTGCAGGTTGTTCGGGGCCGTTGAACGACCTCGCTATTCTAGCGCGTGTAGTTTTTTTGAATACTTAAAATATTCAAGTAATTGTAGCGAATTGCATTAATTACATTTAACCAAAAAGACTATTTTTAAATAGTTAGAGAATATCTAGTGCCGAAAAATAATCCAGTCTACTTTGTTTTAAAAGATAGAGACATTTTCATTATTTCTTGTTTTTTTTTCAAGTTTATAAGCATTATTGTTAAATAAACCTGTCTTTTATCTTAGTCTTACTTTCCCTTTTGTTATGAAATCCTTAATTAATCTGTTTTAATTTTCTATATTATAATCTTTGTTGTAACAGTATAGCTTACTTGTTGCTTTACGAATTTGTAAACATTAAAACCATAAAGAGAATGTTTATATTGTAACACCGACTCATATTATGCTTTTATTTTAAAACATGTACGAAAGAACACCGGTAGTGTTATTCGATATATCACTCGAGTTCGGTTTATGTAAGCATATTAATATTTTTCATGTTTTTGCTTTTGTTATACCTGTTTACTTGTCATCGCTAAGTGTACGATGATATGTACACTAAGGGTCTGCTTAGTAGATATAAAATGAATATTGTGGTAGTTCCTAAATATTGAAACTCGAATTATCTTGTATTTGGGCAAAAAATAAGTAACTCATGCGAGATAAAAACAGAGATAATAAATAATACATCTTAAGCCAGCTATAAACGTATACCTCTAATTTTTTTAACTGAAGAGTCGAATTTTTTTTAATAAACTGTCAGAAATGGGCGTTTGTAGCTGGCTTTAAACAATAGTCAAATCAATAAATTATTGGCATAATTCAGAGCTCATTTCGACACATAATTTCCGGGATTAATTTGCCTCTATGACGTTTGCCAATGATATCAGTTATCGAATTCAATATATTAATTTACAATGAAACTATATCAATATCGTCACATCAGAGTTAATAAAATGATATTTAATTTATCAATTTAAAGTTATTTTGAATTTTTATTTCTATAAAATAATTTTAACGTTGCCGTTAAATGTTATATCAATAAGACTATTGTTTTTTTTACTTTTAAATGCATAATTATTTTTTCCGTTGGATAATAAAGGCACGATCACTTTTTAATAATTAAATTGACATTTTATTGCATCTATTTTTTCGAGTGAATATCCCGGAAATTATCAAAAATAGATTTAAGTTAGTCGTAATAAATTTAATAAATTATAGAGAAATTATTTATTTACATTGCGGTTTATAGTCTATATTTGTTTGTCGGAATTTCTAACCTGTGTCACCTTCATCGCTATTACGTCTTTGAAGCCATCGCTGTACTAGTTCTATACTGGCCTCTTCACCGGCCAACATTTTATATTCACATAATTATCTATTCCAAATAAATATTTTCATTTACACACAATTACTAACAAAATGCACATGCCATATTTTTAACACTGCATTTATGCTTTAAATAACACATTTCTTTTCACAAAACATAAACATAACCTCAAAATAAAACAAAAATATTTTACACTCGTTTAGCACACACGCGGAACACTGACAGACTGACCAACAATTAAAAACCAACCACTCAAATGACATGACAGGTCTTTGCCGCGTTAAGATATCGTTTTAATTAAATGATGATCGTCGACAGTTGAGTGTAAACAGCGAGTAGGCAAAGACAACATTTTAATAACTATTCTGAAACATTTTTGCTTTTTAATTATAGCCTTTATTACTATCGTATCACGATTGTATTCCACTTTTACTAATGATATATTAGTTTTGTTGCAGCGAGGAGTTTGTAAGGCGGCCGGTTAGGTAATGGCCGTCACGTCAGTTGATCGAAGAAGGGGGGTAAAATGTGGGACGAACGTTATACCGTGTAATATTCACTGGAAGAGGTACACTTATTTAGAATTAGATTTCTTTGCTAAATTATAACATCACAATTAAATTAAATTACTTTTAAGGATAATGATTTATATTTATATAGTTTTGAAATGTTAATATGAATATGGTAATTAAAAATTAAATCTACCTTGACTTTTTAGCTCGTACTATTTATAACTCGCGTGTGCAAATAAATAATCCTACCAATATTTTTAACGCAACTACAATACTTTTGTATTCCACTAATTCTTGCCTAACCAAACCAATAGGTACTTTATGGATTTTATATCTTAACTAGTTGTAGCCCGCGAATCCGTCCACAAAAAATTAAAAACTTTAATTAGCCTATCTGTTCTTCTACACTATGCTCTACATCATGCCTTTCATCAAGATGCGTTATGATTTTTTGGAGATACGTATTATCAAACATGCATGCATCAATCTAAACTTTCGCATTTCTAATCATCATCATCATCATCACCAGCTCACTGTACGTCACCACCGAGGGGCTCGGAGCCTACCCTAGTATGGTGTGACTAGGCCATAGTCAACCACGCTGGCCAAGTGCGAGTTGGTTGATTTCACACATATCTTTGAATTTCTTCGCCGATATGCATCACGATGTTTATTTCTAATAGTAGTAAGATATTTTTTAATATTATAATATAACTCCAATTTTGTATTAGTTATATTAATTCAACCAACTTCACCAACGAGACTATGGGACATATGCAAATAACAATATTTCATATCCTCTATGAGAAATGAACACACCCAATGGTGCAACACACCGGACTTTCGCTGCTATTAATAAAGTTTATGCCCTGTGGGGTTTGCGGACCGATATTAATTGCAGTTTGTAGTCTAATTCATATGCCGTAAGCAAAGTTTCGTTATGCAACGTTTCTATCGACTTTAGCAACGCTCTTCTGTGGTAAAACCTTGAAATTGTTATAGACTAGCTGTTGCCCGCGACTTCGTCCGCCTGGTATTAGAAAACATACGAATTATTTAAATAACAAAAAGCTACGTATCCCTCGGAACCGGGTGTTTCTCGGGGATGAACCTTATCCTATGTGTTCTTCCAAAGTATGCTCTATATCTGTACCCAATTTCATGGAGATTCGTTAAGCCGTTTAGGCTACAAACGCTAACAAACATCCATCCATCCATCTAAACTTTCGCATTTATAATATTAGTAAGAAGTGAGATATAAATGTTTGTAGTTAATATTAAACATTACTAATATTATGAATACGAAAGTTTATGAGTTTGTTGCTAAAACTGCTGGATAGATCTCGATGAAATTTGGCACAGATATAGAGTGTGGAAGAACACATAGACTACTTACTTATTTTTAAATTTCACGAGTGTAATTGCGAACATAAAAAAGATCCCTGGAGTGAATCCCACAAGGAACACGAAAGCGTGGCCGCCCTAAAAAAACCTGGCGGAGTTCAGTGGCGGTCGACTTGAAGGTAATCGGGCTGTCATGGTCCGAGATACAACGCAGAGCCCAAGACAGAGCGAGCTGGCGGCGTACTGTGGACGCTCTCTGCCCCATTTTGGGGGACATAGGAATAGAAGAAAGAGAGAGAGAGAATCGCGAGCGTAAGCTAGTTTTAATATAATAAGAATCTATTATAAATAATTAAAGTTAGACATGGGGTTATATGAAATAACTAATATAAAAGAAAACAAACGTTTACCAGAGACGTGTTAAGTGAGTAACGTAATAACTTACCGAAAGTTTCTTTATTATACCTTAATAAATGTAAAACGTAAAAAATGCCACATCCTGCAATTAAATATTTTCTATTTGTGTTATGCCATATAGAGGCGTTTGTCGTAACTAGTCTATGCCGTTTGTGCACCAACCAGTTTGTATTTAGTTACACTGCGCGTTACATTGTCCTTTAACACTCGAAAGGCGAACATAAATCAATGGTCACATGTTGATAGAAACACGCAATCGTATAACATGTTAACGAAACTGGTCTGTGTAATTGATAGGATACTAAAGATATTTGTTGCCGAGACTTTTATGGATCGTAGTTAACGATAGCTTTTACAGATTTACCGCATGTTTAGCTACGTATTTCAAAATACATATAAAAACACTAGCTTTCGCCCGCGACTTCGTCCGCGTGGAGTTAAAAAAAAACAAAAGTTAGTAGCCTATGTTCTTCCAGACTATACTCTACGTCTATGCCAAATTTCATGGAGATCCGTTCAACCGTTTAGGCTACAAATTCTAACAAACATCCATCCATCTATCTAAACTTTTGCATTCATAATATTAGCAAGAAGTAAGATGGTTTTACATACCTACATAAGAAGTAAGTAGTAGATTTGTATTATTAATGCCGCACACTGAAACAAAAACACTTTGCTTCGTACGCGCGACGTCAAATTTTTATGGAATTCCGAGTTTACGCGCCTTTTTTTTTTTTTTAAATGTCGCTTCATTATTTAGCTGTTAGAGTTACAAGATTCATTCAAGAGTATCAAGATCAAGTGTCATTTTCTACTCTAGTAAGTTTATTCGATTTAAATATTGATAACTGGCTGGTATTGCATCAAATTACATTAATCAAGTCATTCGTAACTCTCGATATCTTCAGACAAGAAACAACAAACTAATCCATTTCAATTAGAGGATAGTCAAGAGTAGTGCATACCTCAGCACAGTAAGAGCGGGCGCACACCTTTCACTATGTGGCGACACATTCGCACCGAATTCTATACTAGCGCTATCTGCAGTTACATTTTG